AGGCAGACAGGCAGATAGGCAGATAGGCAGACAGGCAGATAGGCAGATAGGCAGATAGGCAGACAGGCAGACAGGCAGATAGGCAGACAGATAGAGATATATTATCATACATTGTACAATATGCCTGGCGAAGTCCGAAAAGACGCACGTGTGATTTGCCCGGAGATTGGAGCCCTTGTCACCTACCTGCGGAGTCGGTCTTAGACAGATCAAGATAGCCAAATCAGTCGAGTATAAGTTAGAAGTACTTCTGCCGCGCAGCCATGTCCACATTTGCTTCCAGCAGCTCTGTTCGACCACGTATCCTCAGTGCTTGATAAATACAAATTTCACAAATCTCAGCAATGTCACCAGTGATGAAACAAGCGGGATCTGAGTTCGTTCTTGGCACGAAGCGAGGCGAATGATACGCAAGCCCTTTCTAGTCTACCAGAAGAAAATTCTCTGCTCCGTTTTGCGGGGACATTGGTTGAAACCGCAAACGCCGCTACCACTTGTATACTTGGCCTTGTATTGGCAACAGTGTAGTCCTTGTTGTGTCTCATCTCTACACACATTCTCGGCAAACCATTTCTGAACCAAACATGATATATTCGACCTTCAGCTAGATGAGCTTTGTTGGTGAATTGTACGATTGGAGATCTCCAGTGGAATCGACAAGGCTTGCCACGGCACTGGTTTTTGGCTTCATTTTGAAAGTCTAGCTCTTCGAGGACTGCCCCTAGCCACTCTGTGACCTGGTTGTTCGCAAAGAGTTGCTTAAAACTAACAACCGGGAAGGAATAGAATAGAACATAATAGAACCATCCTCCAGCTTCTGACTAGCCTGGTGCCTAGCTGCTGTGCCATCTTTGGACTCAAAAGTCTCAACGAAATATCTGAAGGGAGCAACTGAGTGCTGGACGACAGGCATCAAATCTACTTCTCCCAGAGTTAGCACCCAAGCAAATCTGGCGAGTAGCCGCATGTAGGCGACATCCTTGCTGCTCGCAGCCCCCGAAACCAAGAAAAGAAAGCAATGCCCTCAAAAAGCATGGACTTGCTCACATAGGGGGCACAATCGTTCTGGTTCAAGATCGAGTTTATCTTATCAGAAACATCCTTGTCATGCCTACTACCTGCCATTCAAGTTTCTATAGGAATCTGCCTTGCAGCGTGTCTGTGTTGCACCTTCACTGCCACAAGCCGCCCATCCCGCAAGGTGGCCTGGCAAACTGGGAGGCAAATGCAATCGGCAACGGGCAACCGCAGAAAAGAACGCTACCTTGTGCACCTGACCTATCGATGCACTGGCAATGGGCTGCTCCTGACGTGGCATCAGAACAATCCAACCATCTTGCGCAGTGCTGGTTGTAGCGTATGGCTGCGTACACTTCCAGCATTGTGTGTTAAATCTCTCTCTCTTCTCTCTCTCTCTCTCTCTTGTAAAATTCAGCAGCTATTTGTTTGTCGTTTGTTTGTGCACGTCTCTGTATTGTTTTCCTCTTC